CTCAGTGGTTAAAACTGCTCTGGGTTTAAAAAAAAAAAAAGAAAACTTTTATGTCTATCTTATCCTTTGCCTGTTACTTCATTCATTTAACAACCAGGTATCAAAAGCCTGTTCTATAGCAGGCTCTGTGCTAGACCTTAAGGTATGAACATAAGTTGGCTGCTCTCTCCAAGGCCTTTCACTTCCTAGGGAAGAGAGGCAGACAAGTAAACAAATCATCAGAGCAACTTGCTCTTATCAAAGTGAATTGAAGAGGCTGACTCCCTTTTCCCCAACTAAAGATGTCAGGAGGGGCAAATTCCAGAGTAGATGACAAATGAACAGAACTGAATGAAAAGGACAACTACTGTTATCACAATAATTAAGCCCACACAGAAAAGGTATGTGTGTACTTTAATAGCATTAATGATACATAAATAACCAACAATACAAGACTGTATCATTTTTTAAAAATTTAATTTCCTTGTTAATAAGCAGACCAAAAAAATAACACATACTTGAAATCCTGACTCAGGACCTATCCTTTTTAAGAGAATGTATTATGCTTTTAACTTAATTTCATAAAATGGAATAGCTTACAAGATGTTTAAAAACAAATGTCACTAGATGGCTCAAAGCCCACTAAGGAGAAAATAAAAAGTCAGCAGAGTTGGTGACACTTTAAAAAAAAAAAAACAACAAAAAAAACTTCTCATAGCCCATAAATCTTTCCCTTGGGTAGGATCCAATGACATTTTGGGGGCCAGAGGAAGGCAGGAGATTATATGGGAAAAGGCAACATTTCTATATTACAAAGAAATGTTTTTTTCTTCTTCTTCTTCTTCTTTTTTTTTTTTTTTAATTTGGGGTTTTCTGGATTTTGTTTTGGGTGAGTTGTTGTTGTTTTCTATCAAATATGCCAGGTCATTTTCTCTTCAAGTCCAGGTTTGGGAAATAATTAAAATATATAACTCACCCAATAAATCCAACACTGAGTGATTAACATATCTTTTCTCACTTGTCAAAAATTGATTAGCCTAAGGGGAAATACAACAAAAACTGAAAGAAAGCTTTCAAGTTCAAGCTAATAAGCTAAGGTGAAAAGAATTCAGCCTTTTAAATTTAGCAAGAATAAAGTCAGTTCAAATGACCAACAAAATTGCCCTCAACCTAACTGTGTCACCTTATTAATGCCTTCTCCTCACCTCATGCTCCCTTCCATGATTGGCTGGAGATGGAAGCACTCCATTCACCAGTCACCAAGCAGAACCATTTACAAGGAATCAGAACTTGACATAATGACTCAAAATAAATATATAATTTATCTCCATTTATTGTTTCAGAAGGTAACTCTGCAATGTCCAAATTATTCAACAAAAATTTATTCAGTGCATAAAAAGCAAGGCATTGAGCTAGATACCACCATTCCAATGACCACATTTCCAAACTATAACTTTAAATATGCTTAGTAACAAATCATTTTAAGCATTTCCAAGAATACACAGCAACCTGACAGACATAGTTTAAAAACAGACATAGAATTTACAAAATATTCTAATGTTACATAAAAAATATCCAAACATTTAAAATAAGAACTAGGAATTCCTTCTGTCCCATACACAAAACTCACCCCCTCCCCCACCACCAAAAAAGAAGAAAAACACTGGGGCAATACAGATAGAGACTCTCTTTAAGTCTTAAACTTTTAGAGTTGATGTTATTTTCTTAATTTAGTTTCATATAAATAAAACTCTCTGAAGGCCAAACATCCTTCTTCTGGTTTCATAACTGCAGAAAGTACCTGAAATTAACAAACATTGTAAGGTGGTATATCATAAATTAGAGGCAATTTTTATAAATCCCTGATGTCTCCCTGTTTGTTGTACTCTTTTTTACAGACACATGCAACATTCCCAGTTGTAACACAGAGTTTGACAGAAAACCCAACTGACCATCTTTAAAAGCAGATTATTTTGCTGTGAATCAAAATCATGGCTTAGGGAAATAAAAAGAAGAAATGTGTAAAGTTCTATCCCTCTCTATGATAGTTTCAATAAACCCTCCTTAACTCCAAAAATGCAGCATTTTAATAATTTGTTGCCATTTCCTCAGTCAGCATTTTTGTTTTTTTTAATATCTAAGGTTTCTGCTACTGAAGTGCACATCTGCAAAAATGAATTTGAGATCTTAGCAGTGGATCTAGGTCTTCAAGCTGACAGTACATCTGATTTAAGCCATTATTCAGAAAATTCAACCATAGAAGAATGTGGAATTTTAAAATTTTATTTCTTATATGAAATATAATTGATAGCTTCATATAGGAGGCAAAAACTATTAGAAAATAAATTAAAATTGCTGAAAACATCAAAAGTACTAGAGACTAAATTTATAAACTGAAATCCTATCTTGGTGCCTATATCATTCCCACCTAAAGACTGGATTTTAAAAAGGAGTGAAATACCTAAGAAGCACTGGTTGATATTTTTGCCCAACTGATCTCCACAAATTAACAAAATCCTCAGACCAGAGCAACAGTGTTGGTCATTATCTGAGGTACAGGCTAAGAGGCTTACAACAGCACTCTTCAAAATAAAAGTAAGTAAATATGCTGTTTCTACTTCTGTGTCTATTTTTTAGGGGGGGGGTAACAATGTTTAACAGTATTTCTTCAATGACTCTCATGTCAAAATCAAACCAAATTATTATATTCATCACAGGAATGTTATAATTCTGCTGGTGTAGAAATGTATCAAATTATTTTACATGGTTAGTAATTTAGTAAAACAAAATAGAAAACAAAGTGTGATGACAACTTAAAATACATCCAAAAAGGAGGTATCAATTTTCAAAAATATTTTCAAGAAGAGCCTCTTTGTTCAAGGAAAAATTTGCTTCCACTTACCTGTAGTCTAGTCCTACCTGTCCCATTCTATCTATTCTGTCTCCATTTCTTTAAACATACAAATAAGCGTCATCATAAGCTACTGTTGTAGACCCAAGGCATTCATGGTTTTCAATATTACTGGTTCTTACTATTCTCGAGTGACCTGAAAATACATAACATGTTGTCATTTGTAATTCTGTCTTAGCAGTCACTGAATCACCATTCCCAAAAGGAAAGACCAACTATAACCATTCAAACTCCCATATCTCATTCAATGATTCTCTAGTCCTCAGAGTGGTAGGTATAATCATTGTCCTTTACATATGGGAAAAGGAGCCTGATGAGTTATAATACATAACCTAAAAAGACACTAAAGTGGGACTCAAAACCTCACCATATCCTTAAATAGCACAAGAATACAATACCAGAAAGTTGCTGAAAAAGTTGATTTAAAGTAAATTTTTAGTAATTATCCCAATTCCATATCATGAATCATCACCTTTCTTCATATTTCTGGAGGTGTCCAATACAATTTCACAAAGCGTTCAAAATGGTAATTTAACTGGATTTGATAAAAGGAGAATATCTCTAGAACAATGCTATTTTCCAATGAGGTCACTCTAAATGGATTCTTTATTTGGTTTTATAATTAGTTTCAACTTTACACATGCTGACACAAAAAAGATAAGGAAAAGCATAAGAGGCCAATTATAAAAGTTATGTATGCACAGTATATCCAAGTCATACTTCATATCTCTAAAATTATAAATCAAAACAGGTCATAAACAAATAGATTTTTAAAAGGCATATTTTTCAACTAACATAAACAATGACAGAGTAAACCTCATTAGCTAGATTCTAAGGTGCTAATTTTTCACATTTTAAATGAGTGTCTTAAAATATATTGTCCATTAAAGTAAGGATTCTTCCCCACACTTCAATAAAAACTGTTCTTCTTATGTTTTATTGATAACACTTAGAACCACTGGAATTTTCTTAAACTCTAAGGTGTTGCCTTAAGCCTTAAGATTACAAGATGTTTTAAAAGCTATGAATTTGTGGTATATTTACCTTACACAAGTCCAGAAAGGAAATATTAATGAATCAACCTGATCTGTAACTAACAACATGAATTTTCATGCTGTTCACTAAGTCCTGAAAAGGATTTGTTCTCTAAAGTATATTATCCCTGACAGCACTATGAGTTAATTAGATTAGCAGAACCTTTTCTTCACATCCAGTACTGATGCAAAACTTACCTACCAAACACTGATGCTTAATCATAATAAATTTAAATTAATGATACTGAATTAATAAGGTTTCATTATACTCAAATGGGAAACCAGACACATGAAACTCAACTGGTTGTAACAAAATTCAGTAAAATAAAGTCACAATGAGCTTTTCTTGCTGTATCACTAAGAAAAGCACATTGGCTACTTACTCCCCCATTTCCAGAACCACACATGATAGTTATAACTGATGGACCATATTCTTGTTTTCATTTTAAGTAGTTTTACTAGTCTCTCAGCTAGAAATACTGGCTAGCCTGAATCCTCATGTAATATTAATTTACTTTACTTACAACTTCTTGCTTGAATGGTCTTTGATACCTTTCCAGAATTGTCCTATGAGTGTCTGTTTACACCAAGAGTATATAAGCTGGCAGTATACAAGAAAAAAAGCTCGTTCCCCGTGGCCAATAGTAACCTTACACAAAGCACAACAGTGCACTGCCTAGAGTTTCTGAGATTCTCAGGAAATCTACCCAGAAGTTATCCTTCAGCTGCATCCCAGGGTATCTGAGATTTCTACCATTAAAATCAATTAGGGTAAAGGGCCTATAACAAAATACCTGAAGACGTGAAGAGATACATAAAAAAAGTAACACACTTATCATCACATAGAACTTAATTTTCTCTATGTATTTTTAACTGTCATACAGCAAAGGTCTATGGCCACAAGAGAATGTTAGGGCTACACAAATCATTCCAGGCAGGAATAAGTACAAAGCGATGAAGAGAAGCCAAAGTTTAGAACAAGGCCTGTGGAGTACCACTGCAAAGAAAGGCAGATTATAGAGTATATTGAAGGTAAGGAAAAGGAGATGGTTTACCCTTCTATTTATAACCCTCAATCTTTTGTCTTATAGCTATGAAATAGTCCCTTAAAATATAATGTAAAACGGTAAATAATCAAATTGTTCTGCTTTCCAATAAATACCTTTCCAAGATGTTTTCTCTGAATTCTTATACTTTTTTATTGTTTCTAAGAACAACAGTCAAAATAAAATAACATCTGTTTTACTAATTGAAATAATTTTTCTGTTTTGAGGTAATCTAAATAAATACTTCTCACTCCCACTTCTATCTTCCCTTTCATAAGGTTTAGAAAATGGATTAGGGACTTTGAATACACTTTGGTAGACTCTACAAACCTCAAAAATGACACAGTTGACACTCAGACTCAACCTACCTTTCTAAAGTTGCATTCTGGAAGTGCAAATCAAAAGAGGTATCAACAAATCACCACAGAAAAATCCACAAGCACAGCTTTATTTGTACACAGCAATTTGCTACACAACAAAAGTCAGATCATAGCAATAAAGATAACTGTAAGCAAATATCAGGATATGCCAAGGTAATAATGAGCTGAATGTTTCTCATTTCTGTATGTATACATAGCAAATACTACAATAAATTCTTTGGAAAAGGAGAGAAGACCTAAGTAGCACAAATATTTCCTCAAGGATAATCCTGTGTTGAAGACTTGACAACTGAAATGAAATTCTAGCAATATTTTGGTGTAAATACTGGTTTAATAAACTATATATTACCTACTTTTTACTATATATTACTATATATTACTCTACTGAGTAATATATAGTAATATATAGTATTACTATATATTATTATAAACTATATATTACTATACTGAGTGGAAAACAAATTATTAATCACTTAATAATTTGTTTTCCACTCAGTAAATATATACTTTCCCCTTACTGAGCATATGTATTCACATTCAAGAGGATCAAAATAGATTTTCTCAAATAACTAATCACAAAAAATTCACGTATGACAAATGTTGACTACAATCTTGAAGAATGCCTTTTAAGCCAACAATATAATCAACAAGAAAGTATAACAGAAATAGCATCAGTGTGCCCACCTTAAAATCAGATTTATCAATAAAAGTTTTTTCTATAAACAAAATCCCTTATTTAAGATTTACGTCAGAATCCCTATCAAAACAAATGCAAGATTAACTTTTCATCTTTTGAGTCTATTGTCGCACATTTCCATTTCACTTGTGTAAAAATATGTAGATCAAATTTCTGGAATTATTGAGAACTGTGTACTTCTAATGAAAAATCATAACAACATAGCATGGGGGAAAAGGTAAAATAGCTATGGAGTGGTTAAATGGTTACCGTATTAACTGGCAAAGACACCAAGGCAGAATTATGAACAATTATTTTCACATTGCTCACTTGATAACAACTTTATGTTTACATTAGGAATCCATATTTCGTGATTTAAAAAAAAAAGAAATGTGACCGTAAGTGTGCATGATTGTTTTTTAATTGCCCACACATTGACTGCAATTAACGGAACTGTAAATTTACCTTAATTGTTTTGAGAATAAATAATCTTAACCTACAGAATGAAGCTAACCTAAACTTTACACATTAGGGAGATCTTGGTCATTTTCTGATATTTCAGTAAAAGGTCTTCATTTTTGAAAATGTCAACAGAAATCTTTAATACAAAACAGTTCTTTCGAATGAATTTGATTTGACTGTTTACATAAGGATCCATGCCTGCAGAAAAAAAAAATCATAGTTGTGCATCTAACTGTAGTCGTATTTTGAATCATTTTTGCAAAACTATTTCCTCCTTATTTTGATGGGTCTGTGAATCTTGCACAGAAGCAGGAATTATTCCAATATAATCAAAACAAAAGAAGACATTTTATTTCTCTTTCTCAAAAAAAAAAAGAACACAAGTTCCCCCTTGAGTCCCCGGCCACCCATTCACCACACATACACACTCACACTCACTCACACACACACACACACACACACACACACACACACACACACTTCACACACACAATTACTTTAAAACTGAAAGGCACAGGATCTTTTCTGAAACCCCAGGGAGACTTATGTAGTCTTTAGGCTGCTGTGTTACTTAGCCTAAGTGGTCCTGGTGCAAATGACTTTATTGCCTTGCACTCTAGTTGCATGCTCTGGCCCCATCAGATAACATCTCTACACATAACACAACACCACACACACACACCCCACAACACCGGCCAAGTTTCCAATTTCAGAGGCCCGTTCCGCACACAGTCCATGTTCATCTCGGTTATGTTCCGTGTCCTGACCCCACAATTAAGGGACACTACTTAACCCTGGTGGATCTGCTCTGTTGCCTCATTCTTGCAAGAGTCCTACGAAGGTTCCTCCCCCACACCACCTTGGAACGTGATGAAGACGGTGGGATCTCTCTCTCCAGTGCAATAGAGAGGGCGACCACAGTTTGTCCCCTTCCTCACCCCTGGCATCTCGCCTTCTCTTCACCAGCAATCAGAGAACCATCCCTGCACCGAGTGTATACATAAAATCCAAGGGTGGAGAATTAAATAGCCCGTTACAAAGGGTGCCAGGGGCATGAAGAAAATAAGCGGGATGAGGTTCCCAAGGGGTGCAAGCGAGGGGAACCCTTCAAGAGCAATGACAGGGCGACAGAAGGATGTCAGCGGTGGTGAGAGAGGTTGGAGAATGGCTTTTCACGTTGTTCTCAGGCGTTTGGGGGAATCCCGGGGCGGCGGCGGCATTGATAGGGGCTCTCCGGTCGTTCCCAGCCTCATGATCCCCCACGATCCCCCTTGGCCACCTTCCCTCGGACCGCCACCCCAGCCCCGCGCGGAAGGAAACGCCAGGCTCCCCCCACGCTCTCCCGCTCTCTCGCGAGTCCTGTGCAGGCCCTTAAGTGGGAGGGGGAAGGGGCGCGGAGGGAATTGCTGCAATAGAGCACCGAGAGAACCCTGCCCCAGCGAGGTAGTCCGTGGAAAGCCACGGCCACATAAAAATGCCATATTAATTTTTTAAAAGCCATAAATCACCCCCTCCCTCTGCAAAAGAAAACCATAAACCCGATCCCATGCAAGCCTGCGAGCAGCCACCCACTTCCTATTTCTGTCATAGCA